TGAATATATTTAAAATCTACAATATAGAGAGATATATAACAGCTCTCCATAGTCGTACATTCAAGTGGAGGAGAGAGAGATATAAAACTGAAAATTTGAATCAGCTCATTTATTCGCAGGTGGGCGTTTGGACGCATCGGGCGGCATCCGGATGCAGCCTGTCAATTCGGGCATCCTTACGCATGCTAAGTGCTTATTGCTACGGCCTCTGGTATGGGGCATTCAGACTTAAATTCCTTTAGCTATTGGAATTTTTACTTCTTCGAATTACAATTGTTGAACAGAGTTTCCACAGGGCGTCCGAACGCCAAGATTGCTCTTCGAAGTTTCGTCTTCTGAAATGCCTTTCATCTTTCTTGACAGGCTTTTAGGGTCGACTTCCTTCCTCAAGCTGAGCTTGATAATGTTCCTAAGACCCATTTTGGTTGATTCTTCAACTCGCCATAACCCATATCCATTGAGATCCCATAAAACCTCGTTTTTATTCCTTTTTGGAGATAAGTCTTGAAAAGAGGCAAAACACACAAAAGTCGGTAAAATACGCTTTATTGATACACAAATAGACTAAAACATGCAATTAACAGCGCTTAAATATGAAATATTTGGTGTTTATCAGTTGTGTATACTTGGAAGAAGGTCTCTTCATAATCATCTCATCCCTTGACCTAGAAATTGAATCTTCTCTTAAGGAATTGCGAAACCGAAATAGGAGACCTCCTTTTTTTAGCAATCACCCACTTAATTCAATGGCGCATAATGACATTCCTCCAATTCTTCCCGAACCACCTCATGAAGCTCATCCTCTACCTAATCCTCCTATGGTTCTTCGAGATTACTACACTCTAAATGTCTACAATTCTCCCACATGTTATCGATTACCAAATTTTAGGCCAATCATTATGAAATCAAGCCCGGAATCATTCAAATGTGTCCTTCATTTAGTGGTTTCCCACATGAAGATCCTTACAAGCATTTGGATGAGTTTCTAGAGATATGTTCCACTGTGAAGATCACTGATTTTTAGGAAGAAGCCTTAAAGATGAAACTTTTCCCTTTCTCCCACCGAGAAAAGTCTAAGTATTGGTTTAACAATCTAGAGGCAAATACAATCACTTTTTGGGCTCACATTTAACAAAAGTTCCCCAAAAAATATTTTCCTGCGAGTAGGACCAATCAAATGAGGACGGTCATAATGATATTCTCTCAAAATGATGGAGAACCATTTTATGAGGTTTGAGAGATTGAACGATTTGTTAAGGAAGTGTCCTCATCATGACTTTCCAAAATGGCAACTTATTCAGTGTTTCTATGAAAGCTTGTCTAACACTCATAGGCAAATGGTAGATGCTTCATGTGAGGGCACCTTCTTGCTTAAACATAAAGATGACATTTAGACTCTGTTCGATAATCTGAGTGAAAACTCCATGCATCGTGCTTCTTTCACTTGTTCGGGTCGTGTATCAATGTTAGGGGGAAAGAAATATGAAAATCTTTATCACATTGATAAGTCTATTGAGGTAGCCACGAAAGTTAAAAACCTCACTCAAAGGTTTGACCAATTCTTGCTGAGTCAAACTTCGACGAAACAATTATCCTCTTCTCCCCAAATTCAAAATGAAACTTGCATCATTTGCTCGAATCCATGTCATAATACTCAAAATTGTCCCCATGGACAATCAATATCAAGTGAATCTCAAGAGCAAGTGAATACCACATTCTCTCACCCGGGTAATAATCCTTTCTCTAACACCTACAACCTCGGGTGGAAAGATCATCTTGATTTCTTATGAAGAAATCAAGGAGCAAGTGCAAATCCCCCTCAAGGAAAGTACGTTCCATCTCATATCCAAAATTCTTAATCTCAATCATATCACCCCCCCCCCCCCCCCCCGGGGGCAATATTCTCATCATCAAAATGTTAGTCATTCTTCGAATTCATAGCATCAAGCTCCCACTTTCAATTCTTATTCAAATGCTCCTCAAGTACCTCAAAGGAATTCCGCTTTTAAGGACAAGGTGTTGGCTGCTTTGGGTAATCTTAAGGCAAATACACAATTGCTCCATTCTCACTCCCAATCAATTGTAAAGCTTGAATCCCAAATTGGGCAAATTGCAAATTTAATAAGGGCAAGAGAAAAAAGGTAGTTGCCTAGCTAACCCAAGCCAAACCCAAAGATACTTCACATGGTGGAATCCAATCCCACATCGGGATCTTCCACACATGAATAAGGTCAAGCCATCACAACCTTAAGAAGTGGTAAGATCATTGATAACAAAATGAAGAGATGCCAAGTAAGGATGGTGATCCGGTAAGAAATATTGAGAATCTATTGCCATGTTTTCCATTTATTCCACAAACCATTTCATCCCATGAAAATGAAAAAGAAGGAAATCCATTATTGTCATCATTGTCTCTATATTTAGGAAAACCTTATGAGCCAAAAGCTCCATTTCTTCAAGCTCTAAAAGAACTCTCCCTCTCGGGACGTCAAATGGAGAAAATCAATGACATAATAGAAGTTTTCAAACAAGTAAAAATCAATCTTCCTCTTTTTGATGCCATTTGTCAAATTCCACCTTATGTTAAGTTCTTGAAGGACTTGTGTACTCAAAAGAGAAAATTAAAAAGTTAAGTCCCTAAGAAAGTGATTCTTATTAAACAAGTGAGCTCAATCATCCAACATAATACTCCTCTAAAATTTAAGGATCCCGGTGCCCCCACTATATCTTGTATCATTGGGGACTATGAAATTCATAAGGCTCTTTTAGATTTAGAAGCAAGTGTTAACCTTATTCCATACTCGGTTTATTGTTAATTGGGATTAGGTGATCTGAAACTTACATCGGTTGTTCTTTAACTCGCCGATTGATCAACAAAACAACCACGGGGAATAGTTAAGGACATCCTCATTAAGGTGGATAAATTTTATTTCTCGATTGATTTTGTGGTCTGCCTTTAGTGTGCAAAAAAGAATTTTTTTTTTTTTTTAGAATGATCTGACATGGCTATGCCACATTGGACTTGGATCAGAGAAATCAAACACTCTATCATTATTCATTTATAAAAAACTTGTCTGTCTCCTTAATAATTTAGTACAATAATAATGAAAAAGCTAAAAACCATAAAAGTGGTGCGCACTTGTTGAGAGTCAAAATCAATACCTAAAAAAATGCTCTATTTTGTAGGGTTTGTTTGATAATCGTTTTGTTTTTGGTATTTTTATTTTTTTCGTGTACTATAGGAGTGAAATATTTATTTTTGTTTTATATAGTGCCGAAACGTTTAATGTATTGTGGCCAACAGTCAAAAAACTAAATTGGTATTTTTACATGTTTCGGCACTATAGCAACGGGTAATATAGCAACGAACAGTACACAAAAAAAAATAAATAAATAAATAATAAAAAAAATAAAAATAAAAATAAAAACTCTAAAATGACATTTTTAAACTAGTCATTATATTTTTTTATTGCAATACTTTTTTACCAAATAATTTTTTTACTTTAAAAAATTTTGCAATAAATAAATATTACCAAATATGCTTTCGATTACTATTCAAAATACTGTAAATTAAAACATTTATTTTGTTATATATATTTAAAAATAGACTAAAAAACGATAATGTTCTCATATATCATATCAAGTTTTTTAGGGGATAAAAAGTTAAAAAATCACCTGTACATAGAGTTTCTTGATTTTTGAGAGATTCTTCTTCTTCTACGTATTATTTTCACTGATTTTTTATTTTTTTATTATCTATATTTGTTCAAAAAGATGAGAAATTGGACTCCCTCTCAAATCTCTGCAATTTCCTTGTTAGACACCCAAACAGGCCAAACCTTATAAGGGACAATATCATCTTGCGTGTTGAGAGAAAGAGGCCGAAGAGCAGTAAAAATTGATTACATATCACATATGGATTAGGTTGATAGGAAGAGGAAGGGTAGTACTATGGGTGGGCTGAATTGAGCTGATAGTAAGAGAAAAAGTAATACTAAAAATTGATTACATATGGATTAGGCTGATAAGAATAGTAGTTCTAATTTTTTTTTAAAGACCTGGGCTATAGCCCAAGTTAGCCCATTAAATGCTCTGCCTATGTGCACACGGTACGAATTGAACCGATTAAAAATATTTGAAACCAAACCATTCCTAACAATTCCATAAAAATTAGAACCAAACCAAACCAAACCATGAAAACAATATAATCGAACTGAACCAATCCATGAGATAAAGGTTTGGTTCAATTCAGTTCCACAGTTCTAGGCTTTTTTTTTTATAACTCAATCTAATATATATATATATATATATATATATATAAAATTAAAAATTTATATATATTATATATAATAATTTTTTATTATAATATAATTTTATTATATAATATTGTTGAATGGTTAGAAGACTACTTTTATTATTCTATTATTCATATAAAATAAAATTTATAAATATATATAATTTATAAAACGTCCAATTTAATTTTATAAAATTTTAAATCATAATCCGTTTACAAATGATTCTATAGTTTAGAATCCTAACAGAACCAAATCCAAAAAAAATCTAACGGAAATGATTAGATTTATTGATTAAGCTGGTTGTTTTTTTTTTTTTTCACCCCAAAATGACATTGGCCGGTTCTTCTAGCTTGTGGGTACAATCAGATGTTGTTGTCTTGATAGGTCCTTTACAGCTGTCAAATGACTTCATCACCCAGCTCTCTAACCAATGAAATTACACAATGATAAGTGTGAAAACACAAAATAACCCAGAGTTTATATTCTACATAGCACCTGTCAGCAAAAACATTGTACCGGTGACGCAGTGAGTCAAAGTCGGTGACGCAATCTTTTTGCTTCTCCGCAAAGTTTCCTCTTCACTACCAGTCACCTTAGTCAGGCAGTTAGTGGCACCTCCGTAAATAAACTGCAACTTCATAGGCATATGCATAAACCCTATTTTATAAATCTCTGAACCCGTACGCATTAACTTTTTCCCACCCCCCCCTCTCTCTCTCTTCTCACCCTCTCTTTCCTCATTTCTACGAACTTTCGGCACGCCTTTTTCTTCTTCCGCCTCCTTAGGGCTATATATACACAGATATGTATACACATATAACAGTCTCAACAACTCTCTATAATCTAATCTAATCTGTGGGTAATTAAGAAAATTTTCGAGCTTTTCTTTGGATCATAATCAAATGGATTCTGATTCGTGGAATAGTCGTCTCACAAATGCTTCCAGGCGCTATCAAACTAGATTGGGTCAGTTTAGAGCCACTACTTATGCTCCTTTTGTTTCCCGAGAAATCTTCAGAAATGAAGGAAAATGATAGAAAATTGGGAAAAACTAGGACTTTTGGAGTTTATCCTGAAATAAAAGTTTCAAAGCTATCACTTTTTTGTTTTTCGCTTTGATTTTCTCGGGAATCAAATGGAGCTTTAGAGTGCAGTCAGTGGATTGAATCGCTTTTGATATCGGTGTAATTTGTATGTCTGCAGATCTGTGTCATGGAGGTGAAGAGATTGACGGAGAGGATGAGTCGCGGCCGGAGTTCTTGTGCCCCTTCTGTGCAGAGGATTTCGACATGGTCGGGCTCTGCTGTCATATAGATGAGGACCATCCGGTGGAAGCGAAGAATGGGGTAATAACCTTTTAACTTTATCTAATTTGATTTGGACTCCAAGTTCTTGACCTAGTTTTAATTTATTTGAAGTAAATTTAGTGTTGATTGAGAGAAAATGTCTGAATTTTGCTGGGTTGTTGTTTGGGTTGATTCAGGTTGAAAATTGTTAATGACCCAGAACAGAAAAGTTGCAATTTTGTGTTTTTTAATATATGCTTTTGATATTTTCAGTTTTAATTCTCTTTTATCTCCTTGGAAGTTGATTCTGATTCTAATTCTTAATGGTGTCCTTATAATTAATTTATTCGCATGTACGGTGAGGGAAAGAGTAGTGTAGTTGAAAGTTGGAACATTGGAAAGAATCGTGTAGTTGAAAGTTGGAACATTGTTTGTTAAGTGGGTCTTCCTGTATTGCTAATCTTGCTTTTCAGGGGAAAATCAAAGAAAAAATTGCTAGCAACAGCAAAATGAGCTCTTCTAGAATGCTATTGACCCAGTGCAAAGGATCGGAGAGTACTTGAAATAACTACTTCTACTAATAACATTTATTGTATCTGTTTACATTATCTCCCATATGTTTTTGTGCATCCATGTGATGTTTTCTTAGAATTTACCGGTTTTGAAAAGTGCTTATTTATGCATATCGAAGCTAAGAAACTAAAAACATTGTATTTCGCAGTAAGATGTCGAAAGAATATGAATGTCAATGTATCTAGAAAGATTCCTAAATGAAATCAGTATGTAGAAGTCATGTTTTAAATTTTCTTCTTAGGGGGCGTTACACTAAATTAATACTTTGTTGAATATCTATTGTCATATATGCATATATGCCCTTATACTTCATATATGCATAAATGTACTTTTACTAAGAGGAGTTTAATGAAAGTAAGTACTATGAAAAGTATCCTGAAGAAATTATTCAAAATATCAAGTTACAAATCAAAGAATCATGATGGCTTATGTGGAAAAAATAAAAGAGATATTTGATGTCACCTGTTTGAAAAATTAGTAATGTCATCTGCATTTAACAGATTCTAAATGTAGTGTTTTGTAAGTGTCCAATGTTTCAATGAAGTGTCTTTTCTAGGTACCTCTTTAATAAACATCCTAGGTTCTTTATAAGTTTGCATTCTGAATGAATGGTGGAAAGAAACTTGGAACTTGGTGATTTAGGATTGGATAAGAGGTTTTGTTGGATAGGGTATTATTGTACAATGGTGCTGGCTGTCAAATATGAAGTGATTTTTGCTTTTGAGTTTTTGCCCATTTAATGATACTTGTAACTGTTTAATTATGCAGATATGCCCACTTTGTGCAAAAAGGGTTGGAATGGATTTGGTTGGCCACATTACCATGCAACACGGAAGCCTTTTAAGAATATCCTTTTTACTCATAATGGATGACTTATATAATAGGCTACTTGATACAATTTGGTTTTGGCTTGCTTAACATGAGATCAACGCCTGTATGTGGTCAACAGTCTACGAGATAATTGAATCAGCTTATTGTTGACAATTATACCTTTGGGTTGACTCCAGTTTTATTACATCTGTGTTGCAGGACTTTGAGATATTTATTTTTTGTTTGGTCTCTAGGTTAGTTTTTGTTTTTTACTTTAATGGAGATTGTTAGAATCTGGATTTTAACAAACATGTTTGTATGTTTTGACTTCCTACAAGGTTTTCACTGCCAGAGCCAGCAAGGTTTAAGGACTTATGTGAAGGCATCTAATTTAAGACTTGTCCTAGGTTTACTCCGTTTAAAAGACAATTTGAATGTTATTATCTTATTTTATATGTTGTGAAACGATTTTTGGCTAGCTGTCTTATCATTCTAACTAGCCACCAAAATTTATATTTGGATTTAATTTCATACAAGAAAGTAAATGCGTTCTTCTCACAGCAGAAAAAAATAAAAAAAAGTTGAACTGGGTGCTGAGTCTATTTTCTCAGAATCATGCTATCTAGTTTTATTTTGTCATTCTAACTGATTACCAGAAATTGCATTTTGGATTTGATTTCATACAAGAACTTAACCGCGAGTCTAGTTACCAGGGCATATCCGTTGTTCAACCGGGCATTCCACATCCTTGTTATCTGAGTTTCATTCTTTCTACAAGGTTTTCATATATGTGTATGTTATTATATTATTTCATCTCATTTTCTTTGTGAAGTACTGTTCCTTGACTAGAAATTACGTGCCTAGAAAGAGGAGATTCCGCAAGGGTGGATCTAACACATTTTCTATACTGAGAAAAGAGTTGCGGGATGGAACCTTGCAGTCCCTCCTTGGTGGGACTTCATGCTTGGTTTCTTCCTCCAATACGGAACCTGATCCATTGCTGTCATCATTTATATACAGTCAGCCTGTTCTGGATGAACCTGCAATTGTAAAACCTCAATCTTCAGTTGAAGCAAGCTTAGTGAAGCAAAGCTTAAATGAGGATCTTTCAGAAAGGTAATAGCACCGGCATTAATTATGTATGACCTTTATATCATTGATGTTTGTGTGTCTGGAAATGGATGATAAAATTAGAAATTTGCATACTTAAAGAGTAAATTATGAATTGAATGGAATGAATTTGAGGAAGTGAATCCTTGCTCTTGGTCAAATAAGTGATATTTGAACATTTTATGGTATGGTATGTGGAAATTGAACTTTTTTTAAGAGTGGTATTTTAGGTTTTTTTTTTTTTTTTTTGTTTTCTTGGATAAGATTATTTCTCATTATTAGCCAGTTCTGGTTTTTTTTTTTTTTTTAATAGTTAAATTAGCCAGTTCTGTTGTAGATATTTGATGCATGGTCACTCTTAAAGTCTTCACATTAGCTGATCCTTTGAGGTCAAAAGTTAATAATGAAATTAAAATCCACATTTGAAGTGGTTTACTGTTATGTTGATTGAATGATGTGATGGTCTTTGTATTTTTTTAAGTGTTACTTTTTTGAATCTCAAATGTTTTGAGAGTCTAATAGCTCTGTGGTTGCCTCTTTTGTTTTTCTTTTGATCTGTCTTTATCTCAAGCTTCCATGCTCTTTAAGCTTCATATCAATTTTTGTTTCCTAGTTAACTTAATATTAAATTCATAAAGGGTATGATGGTTTGTACTTATTAGGCTCTAGCTCTTTAATAAATCAAATATATATATTTTTTTGGCAAGGGAGAAAAGAAAATAAATTACGCCAGTTCTGATTAAAATAGTGATCTATCCCAGTTTTGATTTTTCTTGTGGGGTTCTTTAGCAAACTACTGTTACAATACATTTATATTTGTATGTGTGTATATATATATATATATATATTTGTATGCATATATATATATATATGTATGTTGGACTGGACTCCGGACACTGATAGTACACCATTTGTGTGGATGTTTAAAGGTTAATATTAGAGGAAACTGCCCAGAGATCATGTAAAACAGCACAAGTTCTGGGCTATTTATTCTCTTTTACTAAATTTGCTTTTACCATTGAAACTTGAATGTGGAAGATCTATCGTTTCAAAATTTTGGGTAAATTTAAGAATGGTTCAATAAACATTTCGAATAGGGTTGCATATACTCCATGGACAATGAATATATGCATTATAATTTTGTCCTTTCCAAATTATTTGCTAATTATGGTTCATTTGTTTGGTTAGCATATAAGAATTAGATGGATATTAAAAAGAAAATGGGAGGATCTTAACTGTGTATTGTTTGAAAGCAAAATGAAAAGAGTGAAGTACAATTGTTTAATAATGTGGCTTTGTACTAACTTTTTGTTACTGGAAAGGAGAAAAAGTTGGCCATGATTGACCGATAGGAGTGGAGGTCTGAGTACTTTATGATTCTAATGTCTAGTATTGATATAAATATTGTTTTGACTACAGTAATATGTTTACTTCAGTATTTTGGAACACTGAAGTAATGAAAATCCAGCTAAGAAGATATTCACTGGTGTTGGGCTGGAGGTCATGGTGTGGTGTAAAAAGATTTTTCACTCTTGTTAGAAAAGCAGACATCTCTGCTTTTCCGGGTCTCTGTTTCTATGATTGTGTGTGTGGTTTGGTTGAATGTTCTCTTATCACCCGAAAGTTTTTGGAGACCAATTGGCTTTAGTTTTATTGTCTGAACCCCCGGGTGAACGAGTCATTGGTAGCAGTGAATGCTATTGTGACTACTCTCTCTCATTTTCTGTATTAGAATCATTAATGGATTTACTTATTACACTTCGTGTTAAGATTGAATAGATGTCTTTCTATGGTTGCAGAGTTATCGAGCAATCTCCATTGTCAGACAAGGACAAAGAAGAGAAGGCTCGGAAATGCGAGTTTGTTCAAGGGCTGCTGCTGTCCACTTTCCTAGACGAAAATCTATTGAGTCCTAGGGGATACATGTAGTGGGAAGTGCTTAAATTATGTTTTAGCACTGAAGCATAGTTGTATGAGCGAAGAAGCGGATGCAAGTGTGGCTGTCAGTTGAAATAGTTAGTCCAGAGAGACTGTATCAGCTATTGTAAGTAACTTTTATGTGCATAATGGAAAGATGGAAGGACTTAATCTAGTTGATCTTCGTTTTATTTTTCTGAGTATAGCATAATTGGGAATCTGCAAGATGTTTTCTTTTTATTTTGCTTTATTTACCATTACATAGATGATATATGTATGAATGATTGTTTTAAAAAGCAAGGTAATTTGCATATGGTTGAATTGGGAGAGGTCCTGAAAGTGGATATGCACCATAAAAACACGCACAGACACGCACAATGAGCTTCAGCTGATTGTTCTAGCCATGAGTTCAAAGGGCTCGGGAAAAAATAAAAAATTATTCTAGCAATAATTTGTACGTAAATTGCACAATCTTTCTTAAGAGATTCTGTTTTTACATTATGACAAAACGCTTTCGATCTAATTTGTACAATTTATGACTTAATTTTGCGCACTTGCCTTCCACTCTCCCGCTCCTTTGTATATAACTAATAATTTTTGACGTTTTAAGGATGTTAAAGCCTTGTAATAATATATACTTGTACCATGCCAATGAGGCTGGTGTGGTAGGTGGGTAGGGTCAACTTGCATTCCTGACTCTAATTAATTGTATCCGTAAGGTGTCACATTGGTTTGAGTAATCAGATATATATATATATATATATATAAAGCAACAAGGAAAAGGCTAAAAAGCGAAAAGGAAGAAGCTTCAGCCTCTAGGGCTGAAATAAGCCAACTAGAGCACACTGGGCAGTGAACATCACCCCTACTAATCAGTTGAATTGAGGGTATTTTATTTGTTATTTAATGAAGATGACAATGTTTTCAAAAACAATGACATAGAATATCATTTCTCATTCAATTCAAAACTTGAAGAAATCCCAATCATGAAAGTGATTTTTATTTAACAAGTATACATGCACACAAACAACCATGAGTGAAGTTGGTTGGTTTGATGCTTCCATCTCCTTGCACAAATTGATGTTAGCGTTTGATTGGTGCACTGGTTTTGATATTGGAGGACATTTAGTATAACAAATTCGCCCACAGCCTAATGACAAAAATTCTCACCTCACATTTTAAAGGCTGGAAGTTCGAATCCCAGAAATTTTTTTTACTGTAATTGTCTCGTGCGCTTGAGACGGAGAGATTGCATGTTCCTAGTGGTAGATTATGGAATGTTTTAAGAGACCCAATCTTACCATTATAAGAAGAAAAAAAAAAAAAAAAACAAAAAACAAAAAAAATTACAATTAAAAGAATTTTAGCACAAAATTTTGTACCAAATTCTTTTCCATCCCATTCTAAATCAAAACAGCGAATTTGATGCTCCGAACGTTAACATGAATGCTTTTGACAAACTGAGGCACATGCATTGAACAAATTAGCAGGGGCCACCGGGTTATGTTACTTCATGTTTAATAAGACATACACTAACCTGTGCAGTGACAGAAAGAGACAATTATGGAAGGGTTGATTAGGGTTGATGTGAATGTTTGCTATTAATGAAAATGGTGAATAGCATTTGTGGGTTTTTGATTAATCCTTGTTTAAGCTAGATTGTGTTAGTTGTGATATGGGTCATCCTTGGCTGAAAAATAGACTGAAAAATAGAAACATACATGGTACCACACATGGCTAGTATTATTGTGAACAAAATTAGGACTGTGGTAAGTCATATAACGGGAGCGAGAGCGAATTCGAGAGCGGAAGCGTGAAAACGAAAAAATTAAGTCACAAATAATAGGAACAGTGGCAAATATGCGTGCGAAACGTCCTCGGAACATGAGAGCGGGACTCGATGAGAAGGATTGTGTGACTTGGGACTGTGCGGAGAGAAAATTCTCCAGGAATCATCAGGCATGCTATTGTAGGATAAGCCCAAAGAAGCGGAAGCCAGAGATCCAATTGCAAAGCCCGGCACAAAAGACCAAAGGGTTGCCTCATACGCTGAACAGGCCCGACAAAGAATATCAAGGCCCATATGGCCAAAGCCAAGTCTTGCCCAACATGGTAATAGAATCTGCATGAAAAGATAATAGCTACAAAATAAGTCCTGATTTGTAATATGGCCCAATCTCCAAAGGAAACTAAAACTCGAAAATAAGCTTAGAAATAAAATTACTCTAAAAATTATGAGAAAATAGAGCAAGAAACTTCACAAATAAATATTACTAAATATAAAAAATGAAAGCAATCTGAGTTCGTTTAAACAACAAATAAATATTCAGTAGGCCATCTAAAGGACAGAAAAATGTCGTTTTAAGGCCTAAACGATGGTATTTGCCGAAAAATGGCGTATGTCACGCCATTGCGGCGAGTCTTGTATATTGAGCCATTTATAATAATAATAAATAAAAAAAATCTCATTTGGGTTTAAAACGGACATTTCAGGATCAACCTAGAAAATTGATCAGCATTCTCGTTTGGCTCTCTATGAGTGAAAACGGGAATATAAGATTTAGCAATCTCATATATGGTTTTTTGGTTATGTAAAAATGGAGACTATGTGCGGTTAAGACTTAGCTTGGAATATAAAAACCAGGCTTCCACACGAACAGTTACTACCTATACATGTAGAATGCTCTTCACCATTGACACAAAAGTCTAACCGTTCCACATAAAATTCAATTCATCCTCCTTTTTTTACTTTGTTTTTTAGACGAAAAATTGGTGTGACCCTTCTCCCAAGAGCTCACAAGTCCACTTGCTCCAGTTAAGATGTTCATTGAGTTCATTAAAAGTGTACAATTTATACTTGGTAATTTTAAAACTCAGCTCATGTTCAAATTTTGAAGGTGAAATATTAGGTGAGAAGGTCGAATTAGTTGTACGTTTTTGCGATGAGTCTTGCTCGTTGGGTATAAGATAGACAATAGCGAGTACCACATCAAAGGCGAAAAGATGAAAGCCCTGGACTGTTTAAGGCAATAGAAGCACTCCTCCTTGCAAATGCTGAAGTCTTAAGCTTAATGTGTCTCACTACAACAAAAATGGTTCACTACAACAAAAATGGTTATTTACCGCATTTTATTTACAACGTTTAAGCTTTAAAACTTGTAAAAAAGTAAAAATTTTATTTTTGAAACTAAATTTTATATTAAAAACTAAATATTAATTTCAAATAAAATTTTAAAAGAGAACTTCATATTTATTACATTTTCTTTGTTATTTACTGCATTTAATTAACGTGGAAGCTTTGAGACCATCCACTTGTATTAATTACTTATCACACATATGTACTGGATTTTTGGCTTGAGATCAGCTGCTCACATTACTTGATCTAATCTATAGCCCCATCATACGCTGTGTGTGTACTAGTGGTTGGTTGCAGGAGAAAACCCTAAACGATTAAGGCGTGGATTGATGATTAAGCGTCGATTTTCTATCATCGATTGTGAACCTACAATCCGAATATATAGATCTGAGAGTTTGAGCTTCCAAGTATTTCAAAGAGCTTTATAGGGATTGTATCATCACAATCACCGTCTTCATAGTGTTCTTGGTCTTTGCCTTGTTGTTCGTCCTTCCATCATCGGCAGAATTTTAATTAGAACCTCTACAACTTCTGGTAAGTTTGTCACCTTTGATCATAGGCATCTATGGAGTTTTGTAGGTTTCAGTTTTTGTGTTTCACAATTGGTTCATCAACATAGCAAATTACTATTACTAGTTTCAGTTCATAAACAATCAAATTCATTTAGGTTTAATTCTTCTCAACTCCGATTTTGTATTTTGTATATGCATATTAGATGTGAGAATTTCTATTGACTCTGCTAGATCCATACTTGACCTACCAATCAATACCATAGAAAGCCATACAATAGGAATGTGTATTTACATGTGCATATATATATATACAAATTCACATGTGTATGTATATGTATACAAATTTATATTTAAATGCTCTGAATCTTCCTTTAACTGTTTGTTTGAGTTTTCAAATAACATTCTTGGTAGTGAATTAATTTTCTTTAGTGGCTATATTCCTGGATTGTGCCTTCAGAAGCTATATAACAAAAAAAGGAATACAGAATGTATTTGCTTGCTTTTTTTTTTTTTTTTTGCAAATTTTATCAACTGATTTTTGAGTTTTTCTCACACCTGTTTTCCGTTATGGGCTATGTGCAATGCACTTTTGCCTTCAAAAGCAATGGTTCTCTTTTCTTGGGATGTTTAATTCTTCCTTCATTTATTTGAGTTTAAGTTTCATTCTTTGTGATGAATTGATTTTCTCTAATGGACATATCCATAGAGCTGTGTGCCTTCAAAAGCTATAGAATAAAAAATGCAATGCAGAATGCATTTGATGTGAGTTTGCTTATTTCTTTGCTATAGGCGATAACTCTTTGAATTTTATCAAGTGACTATGTTTTGATCATTTGCATTTCTAGTGATGCATTTTTTATTTTCCAGAATTTTTCTAGTGATGCACTGATTTTTGTATAGTCACATGGAATTATGCTTTCAAATTTTGTAGAATAAAGAATGGTAAGGTTATAGTTCCGTTCTCTTCGCATTGTTTGTTGCATGAAATTGAATTGATTTGAGGATCTCTGTCATAGAGTATTTGTGTGACTTCCAAATGTTCGACAAAATGTTTGTTTCGCTTTGGTATTTCTGTATTGCTTGACACTTGATATAATACCAGGAAAAGGCACATGATCGGTGAATGTTTTGTAACTTATAAAATTTTTCTTTTCATTTTTTTTTAATTGTTGATTTGAAACTTGTACCAATAAACCTTACAAAAAAATCTGCAATTTTTTTATAAACTAGTACTTATCAAAATTCTAACCTTAAAGCTCCGATAATATAAATAAAAATAGATATCTTCAACACCAATAACAGCCTATCAAGGAAGCTATCTGGAGATAGAGATGACAAAGTAAAAATCCAATTCAACCTTCAAATCAAACAAGAATCATATATATATACAAAAAAATCTACAGCGATCAAGTCAGACAACAACTCACAAAATCAGAATTTCAAATTACAAAATCAAGATATAAAATTAAGTAACTGAAACATTTCAAATTACAAAATCAAGATATGAAAAACTGAAACATGTTCTAATAAATTTAAAAATTTA